GGGTGGGGGTCAGAAGAAATTGAACGTAATGCCCTGTTAATTATCAACTGCTATGAAATAGCGACGGTGCAGGAAAAGTGAACAGAAAACAATCCCCCCTCACATGCATGGGGGAAAGGATTCGAATCGAAATCCAAAAAGACAGACACATGAAGAAGGCAGAAGAATATAATGGTCGTAACCTTGAAACATAAAACCGCTTGTAAGCATACTACAGTATAGTACAATAAAGTATTTAATAATACGTTTTCTGCTAAATCGGTTTTAGTATCTATCCTTATACTAGTTATGCGTATGGACTTACGGTCAGATCACTTTGAAACACGAACATTAATTAATGAGTTTGGGTTAATTTATGACAGAACGTGTATGGAAAGCATGACGAAAACATAAATATTGATAAGATCTACAAATGAAAGGAAGTTGATGAGCCCCATGACTAGCTACATCTTAAAGAGACGAAGCACACAGAAGATAATAAATTTAAATAGTGAGAATATCGGTGACTTTATTTTTCTTGCTAATTGATTCGTTTTCTCTGGCTTGTCAACACTTTGCTGGTGTTTAAAACCAGACAATATTTCTAGATTGCAAGATATTTTGGATGGAATGTATTATAATGCTTTAGTGATACATATTTTGCTATTTAACCCATAATTGAGAGGGCAAAGAGTGGGATTCATACCTTTCCGCCTAAGTGAATATAACGAACCCAACTTCTATCAAGTCATCCCATAAGTTCTGTTCGAATTTTAACTTTTTGTTAAAATGAACAAAATTTAAAGAGTATTTTATAATGTCTAATGGAGCTGAACATTATTTTTATGTTTAGATGCATTTAAACTGATCAAATTTTATTTTGAACAATTTTGTTTCAGAGAACAATAAAATTAAATTTTTTTTGATTAAAACCCTGCTAACATGGAAGTACACAAGAATCATTTGAGGCACATAATTCTTTATGAGTTCAAGAAAGGAAACTCAGCAGCCGAAGCGGCTAGAAACATTCACTCAGTTTATGTAGAGAAATGTGTGAATGAAAGAACTTGCAGTAAATGGTTTGCAAAATTCAGATGTGGAGATTTCACACTTGAAGATGAAGATCGAACCGGACGTCCAGTTGAGTTTGATGAAACGCTTCTTGAAGCAGCCCTTGAAGAAACTCCTGCTTTATCAGTTGAGGAATTGGCAGTGGTTCTCAGTTCAAACCATACAACTGTTCATCGCCCTCTTCAACAACTTGAAAAAGTTCCTAAACTTGGAAAATGGGTGCCTCATGAATTGTCTGAAAACAACCTCAAATCCCGAGTTGACATCTGCTCTTCTCTCCATTCCCGCCAACTTGCTTCACCTTTTTTGGATAGACTTGTGACTGGCGACGAAAAATGGATCTTTTATCAAAATCTTAAGCGTCGTAGACAGTGGATTGATAAAGGGGAAGGACCTCAGCCACAGCCGAGAAGGGAACTTCATGGGCAAAATATTCTTCTTTCAATCTGGTGGGATCGTCAATGAATAATCCACATTGAATTCTTACCACCTAATATAGCAATTAATGCTCAAATATACTGTCAGCAATTAGAACGTTTGAACCAAGCTTTGAGGAAAAAAAAGACCTGCTCTAGTGAATCGAAAAGAAGTGATGTTTCATCAGAACAATGCGCTACCCCACACAGCAAGAATCACGTCACAAAAGATCGAAGAAATTGGTTGGGAGAAAATTCCTCATCCACCTACTTCTCCCGATCTTGTTCCTTCAGACAACCATTTGTTTCGTAGCTTACAGAATCATTTGGAAGAAACAGCTTTTGTAACACAGGAAGATGTTAAAACTGACATTTGTGAGTTCTTCGAATCAAAGCCAAAAGAATTTTACAGGAATAGAATTAGTAATATAATATAATTAATAGATGGAAGGAATGTTACGGTTTTTTTTTGGGTATATACCATACAACTAGTGAGCGGGTCAGAATGACTTATTTCCCTTTATAGTCGACCAATAGAAGGTTGACCAATCAGAAGCCGCCCAACACTGTATTCATAGTGTATAAAGGCGGCCATCTTGTTTCCTCCTACCGGAAGGACCAAAGGCGAAGGATGAACTACACTCTGCTGTGATATCCACTGCGCTTTCCTACTGTCTCCGAAATATTCACTGCCAACCTCTGGATGCGATACTCGAGAACGACCGTCATGAGAATGTCTAACAAGGAAGTCATAGATAATCAGGGAAAATACATTGTTGATTGAATCTGTAATCTCATCTGAATTACGCAAAATCGAAAATAACACTGACATCTCATTGTAACAGGTATATTTACCCAAATTACATAAAATATTTTGAAATACGAAACAGTAAATTTATTCAATAAAACCGCCATTAGCTTTAATCACAATCTCCAGACGATTTCGGAATCTCTTGCATCTCTTCTGAACGGTTTAAGTTGGTGAATGATGCCATGATCCTTGCCTTTAGTTCATCTTTGGTATTACAGAGATTTTTTTATATCTTGCTCAACTACGCCCTACACATAAAGATCAAGGGGTTGCACTCTGGGGAGTTAGGTGACAAGATGCAAGAGGCATGTAGTCGCAGAAATTATCTGACAGGCATGACTAGGTTCCCCTGCTTGTATGGCATGGTGCCGAGCCGTGTTGCAAGACATAGAGTCTTCCAGCATTCGGTATTTATCTTTTCACCCACTGAAAAGAATATGGCACAAGGCCGTTTTTTATGTGGGTTTCCCCGAGCCCGTAGGCTCGGCCAAAAAAAAATAGCCTTTTGAAGCCGATTAGACGGGTTCAGGCCTGTCCACCTCCCCGGACGAAACCTTGCCCTTCGGCAAAGCCTCGTCCGGGTTCCTCTCTGCTAACGCAGAGAGTTCGACAGGAGGCGTCCGCAGTCAAAGACCGCGAGATGCCATTCTAAGTCTTCCAGCATTCACCCACTTGATCCAGTCTGAGGCCGCGTGAGATGAATGGAGGCATAACTTCGCCATCGCTAGAAATCACTCCAAACACCATGGTGTTGACTGAATATACCATCCAACTCTTTCTGAATCCTCTGCACTGTCCTCAGATTGACACTCAAGCACTCTGAAATGTTCGTATTGGAGACTTCGTCGGCAATGCTATGCAGTACAGCAAGCCGTTTCCAAATTTCTGGTGAAGTGAATTGCGTCACGGTGGTCCTCTTTTCACAGAAGACCCTATTAAACTTTTCAGTCGAAAAAAAAAACAAAAAACAACGGGCATGCACGAAATTAAAAAAAAAATGTCGACAATTTACTCACCGCATCTTGTATGTGCGGGTGGTGTAAGAGAAAATGTCTCGGAATTATCAATCTGTAATCCGAATTCCAAATCGACTTGGGTTTGTTATATTCATTTACGCGTAATTACTCTTGGGAAAGGTAAGAATCCATTTCCCCCCAACTATGGGTTAATTAGTAATGCATGTAACACTAAACTATCCTTATCTAAACAAAAAATGCTTACAATCTAAAAATATATTCTGGCTTTAAATAACTTGCAAAGGGTAAACAAATCGTAGAAAATGAATCAATCAATTTATACATGGATCTGTCACACATCTTTCGCTTAACAGTCAAGGATTTAATGCCATTGAACTTGTCACCTTCTATGTCGATATCTTTAATATTTTTTTTATTCCCTATTGCTCTCATTCTTCTTTCGATTGCTAATTGAGTAGTTTTCCGTAAGAGAAAATGAGAAGAACACAGTAACTATCAATCACAACAAGCCAGAATTTATAGCCACCAGCAAGAAATAAAGCCAAATATGCAAATTAAGAATTGAAGAGGATAAAGTCAAACAAGCGGAGAAGAAAAAAATATGTTGGCTGTGTTTTAATAGGGGACTGCAAATGTGGTACCGAAATACGCAGTTGCAATGAAATGGCGAAAGTGGTCTTCCAAAGGCTAAGCAATCAATTAAGAATCAAGGTAATTTCCGGTAGAATCAAAGAAAAGTGTGCTGAATTGCTATATGATACCATTACTCCTAAAGCATTTCCTTATAGATAAAGACAAGAACTGAGTCAAGAGAAATATGGTTTCATATTAAGAATGCTATGTACAGAACATTTATATAATGAGAAAATTTTAAAGACGATGAAAGTAAAAATAACAGTTCTGCATAAAATTCAAAAGCAAAAGTTACAGGAAACGTAATAAGGAAAGAAGACTTGGAAAATCCGACACTCGCAGGATGTATTGAAGGCAAGAACGACAAAGAAAACCAGCAACAACCTATTTAACGAGTTTGAGTAAATGTATGGCAGAACAGACAGGCATAAGAAAAAAAAAACATTGATCAGATATAAGGCATAAGAAAAACATAAATATTGATCTGATCTACAAGAGAGAGGAAGTTGGCGAGTAACATGACCAGCCACGTCCTAAAAAGCATTGTATCAGGAAGACAATAAATGTATTGTGACTTACCAAGCGTAGCTTAGATGTGGCACACGACCGAAAGTATGGGAACTCACTACTCAGTTGTAATTGTTCAAGCGAAACAAACTTGCTAACCATTACACCGCCACGAGGTGCCCAAAACAATTGATCTATATAGTGAGAATATTGGTAACTTTATTTATCATGCTAATTGATTGATTAATTTTCTTCAGGTTATCAAGCTTTTGCATGTTATTTAATTCCAGGCAATATTCTTAGCTTGCTAAATTTATTGTGGGGTTTGGTGGGAATATTAATGGTTTAATGATACAAATCTTACTAATTAACCCATAATTAGTAAGATTTGTATCATTAAAACTCAAACTCGTTAATTGGGAGGGGGAAAATGTGGATTACTACCTTTCCCAAGTTTTTCTGTGCAAGGGGAATATAACGAACCCAACTAGAATTGGATCTTGGCTCGCGATTAATAATTCCGAAGCATTATTCATTACATAACCCGCACATTACATAACCCGCACATTACATGACCCGCACATTACATAACCCGCACATTTAACCATACGACACTTAGTATTCCCACGCCGTCATCCACCTAAGTACTGACCAGGCTTCAAATTGATTAACTTTAGTGACCACACGGGAACTGGTAGATCCGACGTAATGTGACCGTAATCCTTATTTTACTGGTATACTGTCCAAATAATATATAAATAGAATATATTCGTTGTATTTTTTGCAATCATTTCCACGCTCTACAGTGCCCAAGAGCCACAGTGGCTAGAGGCTTACTGAATAAGAGTTAGCAGGCACAATTTATTGGAATAAGTGAAAGAAGAATATGGTTAAGGCTACACTTGAACGGGTTAAGATTATAGTGATCGGTGAAGCATTCTCTTCGGAATCAGTTTCACAAAGTCGCGGCTCGTGGGAAGAAGCTGTTCGAACGGAACTTACATCTCGCCAAGGGAATACGAAGGGAATGAAGGTGGTTCGCTATAAAGAGCGTGACATGGATGAACATGCCACGCCCATGCCACGCACATTATAGCGAATCTCCCGCAATTTTATCTCTAAAGGTTAGAACCGGTCGAACTAAGGTATGTAGTTCGTCTGGCCAATTTCCATTGGAATAAAAATGCGCAACTTGCAACGCTTCATCTGTGGGAAAATAGAATGGAAATAATTCATCACCCACAAGAACGGGGAAACGCTTTTGGATTACAGCGAGGCTGGAATTTGGCGGCTCCTGCTCATATATTGAAGCAATTCACTGTTTTGGCTAGTTGTAAAAGTAAAAGAGATGAGTGCTAAATAAAACTCTAGCTAACTATTATTTTTAAAGAATTGCATTTTCCTCTGACTTCCTCATTTTGACCTTCGATGTCAGATACAAGGACACAAAGGAAGTTGTTTTTGATTGGTTAAAACTAGTATGGGAATATTAGAGAGATAAAAAGGAATTTCAGGGAGTTAAGTTTTGACATGTCATACTCAGTAGACGTGGTTATTTCTTGTCTCGGGGAACTTGCTCCCCCCCCAGTGGGGGTGATAGTGTGACCCCTAGTGGCTAGTTAAAAAAAGTACACATTGACGTGTTTAAAATCCCTTTTTCTGAAGTCAACTTTCATCTCCGGACTTCAAAAACATTTCGACACCCGGCTGGAAGAAGACGAGCAAGAGAAGATACAACGTCAGGGTAATGACACCGCCAACCAAGAAACACCCAGAATGGAACCAACCAAGAAACACCCATATGTTGCAGTGGCCAAGAGCCCCTCAGAAGACGAGGATTATGCAAGGAGTCAAGTACTTACTAGAGTGGTACAGGGATCTTTAGGGATGGCTCATATGTACAGGCATCACGTGTAAAACAAATCTAGAAATCGTATATCGGGAAGGCGTACTAATCAGACACATGAGAATTATCCAATGATATAAATATCTTTCCAAAGACGGGAATGTATTGAATGTCGTTCTTGAGTATAAATACGGGATTCATTTCATCTACGTTTTCTTTTTCGTTTGTAAATCTACTTCTGTTATTAGCTCGCTACAATCTTCTCTGCGTTCTGGTGCAATGGATATCGGCTGGGAATGAGAACTCGGAGTGCTGAGTTTGAATTCCAGTCGAGTTCGTTGTATTCACTCATGTATGGATTTATACCCTCAGGAAAGTTAGGAATCCATCTCTTCTCCAGCTATGTGTTACATAGCAAGACAGAATGGGTTCTTTAGCCTTGGTTCGCAACTAGTCTACCGCAGAAGGAAATGGCAAACTACTGCGGGAAAAATCTTCTGCATCGTCATGGTCAGTCATGTATCGAAAGATACATGATCGTCTCAGCGTGTATCACTGGTGATACTTAACTGACTGACTATCTTCTGAAGAAAATAATCACTTCTATTACTTTACAACTATGGGCAGCTAAAAGATTTCAAAAGCAGTTCATTTTGGTGTAATAGTCAATAAGCTGTATTTAGCTCCGTGTTGATGCCTTACCATGTGCTAAATACTATTAGCCTTGTACCAAACTAAGATAAGCTTAGTCAATATTTCGGATTTTTCAGCATGGAGTAAAGATTTACGAGCTGACACGAGTAGTGGTCTCGGTCCACATTGTGTAAAACACATACTGGATTTTCTGTTCTCACCATGATCTAATGGTTAACGAGCTCTTTGGTTGATGATTACCAGAGAGTAATGAATTTGATTCTCACCGGATGCCACATACTTAGGACATTGTTTTTAAAACTAAAAAAAAGCCTGGTAAATATGTTAAGAGTGTTATCGTTAGCGAGCTATTATTACTACGGAATAGTTCGAATCTCAATGGATGAGACACAACATGGCCTTGCTCAATACAAATCTTAGTATATAGTTTAAGTGTGTCATTGGTGTCGGTTAAATGTCACAGGCATCTCTGTCTGAACATTTATACGGAAAAATGAATACGATTCTCACTGGGTGTCACCCACTTGCAGTCTTGTTTAAAACTAAACTTACTAAATATTTTAAGGTCATCTCGACGTGGGCTAAAGATATGCATCCTACTCAATTTAAACATTACTAAGAATACCGTAATTCCGCATGTATAATACACGTTTTTTTTCTAAAAAAATATTAAGCAAAATTAGGGGTGCGTATTATGCACAGCTACAAAAAACATCTTTAAAAAGTTTAGGTTTCATCGGTCAATTTCACTTGTGAAATAACTACTCACCACAAACATACATTTTGATACTAAAATTCGGAGATTGCGACCCCATAAGGATGTCAAATACAATCATATGTACTTAACAATACTTACAAATGTAAAACAAAATAAGAGTTATAACTAAATTAAAATAATATTATTCTATGTATAAAACCATTGTTTAATAAGACTAAGAAACGCTGGCCGTAATGAAATTGGAGAGATACAATTTCTAGCGTTAGACTAGCAAAAATTGTGTGCATATTATTCGTGAGTAGAAGCATCTTCCCACACTTTCAGCACAAATTTTGGGGTGCGTATTATGGATGAATGCATATTATACATTCGTCATTACGGTATTGATTTTCATAGTGCTGAATATATGCGGCCTTGTTCCAATCTAAGCTTCGTAAATTACTACTAAAACTAACGAACAGTATGTTCTTGGATGTCTCTTCTCATCATATTAGTCTCCATATGACTAATAATGTAAAACAAATAGGTTTACATTTTTATCAGGCTTGAAACAGCGGTTCCCTTGCGATCATCGAAGATAAGCAACGTCGATTAGCACCTACAAAGGTGACCGCTTGGGAATAGAAGGAGCTGTAGGTTTGAACGTGCTTGTAGTGTAATGGATAATGCCTTGGGATTGTTAATTGAAGACCCGACTTCCAATTCCCTTTGAGTTCATTATATTACGCGGAACTACCTCTGGGAAAGGTGTGGACTCCGCTTTTCTCCCCTCAGCTATGGGTTAATAAGTAAGACTTGTGTAAAATATCATTATTATCTCCAAAAATCAAATCATGTAAAACTATGAAGATTTCAGCATTAAATAACCCGTAGAGGCTGGTATGCTGCTAAACAAATACAACCAAATAACTACATTTTTATCAATGTGAGCTTCATTTTACTCCAAGTATGGGTAACTATGAACATATAGTTTATCATTACGCGAGCCAAACTACTGAAGAATTCAATATTATATATAATTTGATTTCAATTTATTAATTTGTCATTATTTATACTCTTTACATTGTTTAGACTATTGTTCTCATCTTCCTGGCCATATCCACGTTTCGGCCGTTGTACGCTCTGGTCTTCTTCAGGTGACTGAAATTTCGAACTGAACCCTCAATTTCATCCACTAGGGTAGATTGTTCTAGTTCACGTGTTATGCCTCTAGTTTCACGTGATATGCCTCTTCCGGATATATCACTACCTATTAATCTCCCTTTAACTCACCTCTTCAAGTTTTTTTTTTTTCCTAATTCAGCTGTATCCAGTTATTGAACTCACAAATCTTTGGTCAAGTCTTTCAATTCAATCAACGCTTTTATCCACCGGACTATTTATCCTTGAGTCTACCTGAAGAAGGCCGGAGCGTACAACGACCGAAACGTGTATATGCCAACGAAGATGACGACAACAGTTAGAACAATCTAAACAGTGTAAATTTATGCAATACCTCATCTAAAAAATATAGACATTCATTCATTTGTGTATGCGAAAATACTTTCGCTAAAGTATGTTTCGTCTCCAGAGAAATACAGTATTATGAATATTTGCTGTTTCTACAGCAAATGATGTTTACACGTATGGACTTCCTTAGTGAACATCGACAAAGGTTTAAACTGATGAAAAGTTTTCAACAAAACGGGACAAAATTTAACATTATACTTAATCGATTTTTATACATCTGGCTATGTATGAGACAGTGTGAGTGAACAAATGAGAACGAATTGAAACCAACAAAATTTTAATAAACGTTATTTTTCTCATGAAATTATACGAACCATTTAAAAGCTAATATGGCCGCATATGTTCCGTGTGCTGCAGCGTGCCCATGACTGTTCTACACTCTTATTTTGCAGTAGTTTCTGGAAAAGACACCTGGCTTCACACAATTTATACATGAGAATAAATAATCTACCCACGCCCTCATATTCAATGCCAAAAGAGAAAATATGTCACCAACTACTGCGATTTTAATTATGGGGAAGCTGTTGGAAAAATAAATAAAAATATAATTGTTTTCGTTGCTATTAGAAACACTGATGATAGAATTGCGATATTAGGAGTGGTGTTTATTAAGATTACGTGGGCGGATGGTTGGCTCTGTTTTCTCTTACAGATATATGTTTATACATAATGGTAAGAAGACGTTTACTAGCCAAAGGTCCGTCTTAGTATTTCAATTAATTCTTTTACATTAAGATAGAAAATTTTATTCTTTTATCACATTCTTGGATTTTTTTCTTCTATCTAGCTTTATTTTTCCTTCTCGGTTTCATGATATTTCGTATGAATTCACAGTTTGTTTACATTTTTAAGAAGAGATTTTATGAATTGATACTTCGATGCTGCTTCTTCTTTATATATATTGTCTCAAACAACTTCTTCGTTACTGCTAGTTTCTTTGACCAACATTCTAATGAATTTCTAAGAAGAATTACGCTTTACGTAGGGCAGTT